AGTCTTGCTGAAACACACTTTCTTCCACCAATTTTAAGAAGCCTCCACCAAAGCAGGGGGAACAGCGGGATCAGCCCCTGCCCCAGGGTCACCCGCTGAGAACAGCTCAGATCTCAGCTATAGGAGGAAACCCCCAGCTCGTGTTTGCCTTCTGCAGGTGGAATTTCTCTTCCATAAACAGGGATGGGAACAGGGAGAGGGGCTGGGGAGCACAGGACCCCAGGGATGGGGCAGGGGTGACAGCAGCACCAAGAGAGGCTGAGCTTGTCCTTGACACACACACTCAACATCCAAACCCACCAGATTGTCTTGGAAAAAAAAGCCCCTCAGAACAATCAAATAACTGAAGTGTCACCACCTAAGTGCATTATTACTAATGTGTAATTAATTACTACACAACTAGTTACTCCCACAGAATGATTTAATTCAAAATTCAGAGGCAGATGCTGCAGTGGAGCAGCACAACATCGGGATCCTCTGGTCACCCTAAGACATGACAGAGTGTGATGGGGCTCCAGACACCCCCCCCTCCCCATGAACCAGCACCTTGGGGTGCTGCACTCAGGGCACCCAGCTCACTCCCCATCCTTGGGCCCCCATCACTAGCCCCCACCATCCTTGGGCAGAGCTTTGTCCTGGGTCAGTCCAGATGCTCCCACCCAGTCCCAGGCTGGATCCAGAAACAGAAGAGGACGGGAACCAGCACCCTGCCCAGAGCTGTGTCCCCAGTCCCAGAACAGCCATGCCCCCAAACTCAGAGCCATATCCCCAGCCCCAGAGCCATGTCACCAGCTCCAGTCCCATGTCACCAGCTCCAGTCCCATGTCCCTAGCCCCAGTCCCGTGTCCCCAGCCCCAGTCCCGTGTCACCAGCCCTAGAGCCATGTCCCCAGCTCCAGTCCCATGTCCCCACCCCAGAGCAGTGTCCCCAGTCCCAGAGCCATGTCCCCAGCCCACACTCACTCTTCCAAGGCGGTTGCCCCGTTGATGCTGAAGGCCACGGGGATGGCCAGCAAGGAGGGGGCGAGCGCGCCCGGCACAGCCGGGAGCTGCATCCCCGGCCCGGCCGCCGCAGCCCGCGGAATTTGCCCCCCCTGA